TAACATACCTTTTTAAGGGTTGGGATTTTGTTTGTTTTTGTTTTGTATGACAGGTTTTCTCTGTCTTTCTGGCTGTCCTGGAATGTGCTGTGTAAACTGGGCTGGCCCTGAAGTCACAGAACCCACCAGTCTCTGCCTCCTGAGTGCTGGCATTAAAGGCGTGCACCACAACTACCCAGTGACTGGGTTTTATGCCTGTGTTACAGCACTGTTTTAATGCCAATCACACAATTAGGGTTCCATCAGCTTTTTAACAACAGCTTTCTAACTCAACTGAGTGCAAATATATCTATCCATCCCAATGAATACTAAGTATCTTTCTCTGGAATATACTTAGTCTGCATGCATACTCCATCATCACTTTTGTTACTTAACCTTTCTGTGAAATTTATGCAAAGTGTTAGTTAGCTAACAACTGTCCACATTCCAGAACCAGGAGGTTCCTACCCTCATCCTCACCCTGCCTAATGTCTCAGCAACAATGCCCTCCTATCACCAGGGCCAAGGTGACACATTTCCTCTGTCCCCACCTTACCCAGGTTTTCCATATGTAAATGCACCATATCCCTACCTCTCCTTAAATCTGACATCTGATCCTGCCAGTGTCTCCATCCTCACTCAGAGGTAGCCACTTTTCAAATTGGTGAAGTCTATTAGGTGGTGTCATTTCTGTGACATTCCTAGACCCTCATCACCTAGATACTCTGTGGCTACAAAACTTTTACACAAAGACATGTAGATACAGGACAGTGATCTCATGATTACTTTGACTATCCAGACTTCCTTTTCCTCACATAGAGAACTGCTTACAAATTATGTTCCTCCCCCCTCCTTTGTGGACCCCCATGCAAGGGAAGCTTTGTAGTTCCTTGTGGCTTCAATCTCAAGCAGTGCTCTCCCTAGAATTTCCGCCTTCTTCTCCAGAAGGTGTACCACTCTGCCCACTTTTCAGTAACTAAGCGCTGGAATTGGTAGCTGAATTCTTCAACATTTTGAGAGCTGCTTCTCTTTTTTATCTGCTGCTGTCCCCACCACAATTCCCTGATATTTTCTGTTCTGAACATCTTCATGGCCATAGCAAAAAGTCAAAACCTGAGCATGGACTACAGTACCAGTATCTGGGAGGAACTTCCAGATAATAGAGCAAAAGTGGCCTACGGAACAGATCATACAAAAACAATCAGATATGCTCATTAACAATTCATAATATGCAGAGAACTGGACCAAGTTGCATGGGATTTCAGTAAAACAACACAGGATAAATCTATGGTGTAAATACCAACTATCCTAGTTCTGGTTGTGTATTTCCAGAAACAGTACATTAAAACCCCTAAATTGTGTCAGTGAGCATCTTTTTCCTTTTGAATAAATATGTGCCCACTAAATCAGGCAGAAAGTAAAATTGAGTTAGGATTAGCTAATTATCTTTAAAGGAGCCTTTTCTTATCTCTGAAATAAACACTTGTTGCTCCCTGGACTCTCCCTACTGATCTGGGAACTCTGAGACCCTTTGTTCCCTGATATTTGCATTTCAAAGGGAAGATGCCCCCTCAACCCACACACACACACACACACACACACACACACACACACACAAACATACATACACACACAGAGAGAGAGACAGAGACAGAGACATAGAGAGAGAGAGAAAAAAAAGAGAAAGAGAGAGAGAGAGACAGAGAGACAGAGATAGGCCCATTAGGGAGAAACCTCCCAGGGTAGTGCTCTCCTTATTAGCTGGCTTGGCAAACCTGGCTTTCAGACATCAGCACCTACTTGTTAGAAAGACAAGGAAAACTCCATTCAATAAAGTCTAAGTTTTCTAACCCACTGAACCAGACCCCCATATTCTGATTCTGTCAACCTTAGTCAAACATCTTCAGAGGTAGTTCAAATGCCATGTTAGTAAAGAATTCCCTAAATATTCGTAATGGTAAACACTGACATCAAAGTACTGTGAGGTTGGGAAAGAAAATCCTGGGAGATTATTATGTGGAAAGAGAAAGATGTACTCTGTTGAAGTGGTAGTCCATAAGCATGAAAATTGGAACAGAGAGGATTTGGGGAAGTAAACCAAGTTTAAGAAAGGGGCATTTCCATGAGGAAGGTCTACATGTAACTTCCGCCCAACCGAGTAAAGGATGTGGGAGGCCGTGACTGCCAGGTTCCACTGTGAGCCAGGACACATTCATGCAAACACAACTCTGCTTTCCTGTGCACAGATTTGGTAGGAAGAAACCTGTTGAGAGGCAGCCAGGAAAGCTGCAACACTGGGGTGGCTCCTGAGACCCTGAGAATAGGACTTTCCCCATCTGCTCAGGGGGTTGTTGTGATCATTCAGGAGAGGGAGGATGCAAAACCCAGTCACCATGTAATGATCGACACATCTCTCCTAAGATCCCAATAAAGAGCATAAATAACCTTTCACTACAGGAGGGTTGTCATTGGGACAGAAACACAAGCCATAGGTTCGAGGTTGTCCCTGTCCACTGTGTCCTGGACCCTCACATAGTCCACAGGGAAGCCCTAAAGACCAACTCCACATGTTCCCTCATAGTCTGGGCAGGATGAGCTTACACTCGCCTGCCACAGAGGGAAGGATACATGGGAAGTCAGGGATCCCCAGCCTGTGCATGGCTAGGGATGGAGACTTGGGAGGTACCCAAATGCTGACACTGAAGCTGCTGCTGTCTGGGAGAGACAAAGTAGAAAACTCTTCCCATTGCATGGGAATGAAGGGCTGCCTGCCTGGCTGGCATCCCACACACCAAAGCTCTCAGTGGAAACCTAATGCCATGATGCAACAGAGTTAGTATTGCTATGCTCCCCAGACAAGGAGGCAAGTTGAAGTGGCACCTGGAGAAGATACTTTCCTGCACCTGTTGGAAGTACAGAATGTGGTGGAGGTTGAGACAGATTGCTTATGCCCTGGGGCTGGAAGGAGACAGTCTTACAACATGTAGATCTGTTAGGATGAGACACTGCATGGGGGCCATGGCAGGTTCCATGATGGGTGAGGGTGACTGAGTCAGGGGACAAAAGTGCCAGGCACACAGAGATTAAGTGAGAAGTGAAGTTTTATTAGAAACTGGAGGGAGGGGGAAGGAGAGAGAAAAGAGGTAAAGAGATACAGAGATAGAGAGAGGACAGAAGGTAAGAAGGAGATAGGAAACGCCCTGTCTGCCCCAGGGGAACAGTGAGAAGAGAGAGCAGGAAGAGAGCTGGAAAAGCAGAAAGAGAAGAGAGCAGAGGGACAGGAGCTAGAAAGAGAGCTTAAGTGGGCAGAGGTCTTTCTTTTAAAGGGATTGCCCCACCTGTGTGCAGACTGGTACTCATGGAACCCTGGGCTGACCAGAGGACTGCCTGAGTGCATTGTGCCAGGTGACAGGAGCAGGGAGCATAATGCACCAATCCTTTACTTATTTAAACAGTGAGGAGTTGTGCATGGCAGTCAGGGGATAAGGACTTTGCGTTATCATGAGGCATTCCTGCTGACCTGGGTCCGGGGCCCTGACCATCCCTGGGGGACCCGAGAAAGCTAAGTGCTGCCAAGTCCTGGGGTTGCTGGTTGTTTAATCGCAGTCCAGGGTGTCTGGAACTCTCTGGTTCCATTTCCACCTGGAAAGATATTGGAAGAACAGAGGACAAGGTTAAGATGAGGAATAAAACAAAACAAAACAAAAAACATTTCTTAGGTCCTGGTGCTTAAGAGAAGGAGGGAGGGGCTCATGAGGGATCCCAAAGGCAGGCCTCTGGGAAGCTTCAGGTCCTCCTGTGTTCTCTAGTACTTCACACAGTCCTCTCTGTCTTCCTGGATAGGAAGGAGCCACTCCTTCCTACAGGGTATCTGACCCCGAATGAAAGATGTCAAGATGGGGTTTGCCACTGTCAATACCCTTGAAATCTGACAATGGCATTGTGGGATGCCATAGCCTGACCCGTCTTCTCACCACAATGGCTGAGGATCCAGCCACTCTGGATCCTGCTGAGCTTCATCTTTTGAACACCATCTTAGTAGACAACCCCCACATCTCTTTTCTTTCCCGCCCTCCATGTTACCCTGCCACACCCCTTGCCAAGGCCAGTATGCTCATCCATTCCTGCCTGGAGTCACTTGAAACCTTTACCTACTGAAATCCACTACTTGCTGTTTCCTCTGTCTCTGCAAGGCTTGTAGCTGGAAGTTCATCTCTCAACAGTGCTGGCTCCTGGCATGCAGGCTATGAGTCTGAGTCTGCCCTCACCAGTTTGAACAATCTGGCACTCTACCACCAGACTCTACTTCTCAGAAATCAGAGCTTAGAGTGCTCACTGAAGCCCTCACTTTAGCATGAGATAGAACTCTCAATATACACATAGATTGAAAGAAAGCTTTACACTGGAGAGGCCAGGGGTCTACCTACCTATGATCTTTCTATAATCTCTGTTTTATCCATCCATGGATCTTTTTTCTACCTTCCTATCTCTGATCTCACTCTCCGCTGTCTCTCTTTCCTTGAATCTGTCTGCCTGTCTGTCTGTCTGTCTACTCTGAAACGAGGGCTCACTGTGTAGCCCAGGCTAGTCTCATATTTACAGCAATCTTTCTGTTTCATCTTCCTGAGTTTGTTTCACCAGCCCCAATGCTTATGGGGGTGGCCATGTGAGGAACTTTCCTCCCTGAGTAGCCTTAGGAGCGGAGGCTTGAGACGAAGGGGGTAGGACAGAACTTTATCCCTTGGCACCAATGGCCTGTGGCACAGGAATAACCCATCCTGGCTGTGCTCCTGGGACAGTATGTCTGTCAGTAGTGTAAGGGAAGGTTCAGTGTGGGACAAGGTTTCTGGATGAACTGAAGCACCCCGTCAATGGAGTAGACAGCTGTACTTAGACACAACTTGGCAGTCGTCCATGTTCTCTGGTCAGCTTATCGAAAGTTGTAAAGATGACCTCAAAAAGTGTGCGCTGAGACAAAATATCCAGCACTGCCCTGGCAGAGGTACAGACAGTGTGTAAGGTTATGGGACTTCAGAGAGCCCAGGCAGGTGGCCTGTGACCATGGCCAGCAGCTGAGCCACTGCCATATGGGAGCACACGACAGATGCTTTGTGCAAAAAGGGTGGCTGTCCTCTGGCAATCTTCTTCAATTTGCAGACCTGAGGCTCAACCACACAGGACAGGTTCCCAAGCAAGAACCAGTCTTCGGTCCTTACTCTGTCCATGAGGACAGGGTATTCTGGAGGGCTGGAGGAAGGCACTCTGTGGGACAGACATGCATGTGTCCTGAGTCTTGTCATGCTGGACCCTTAGCACCAAGAACTCTTCAGGGTCCTGTGCCCGCTGAGGCTCTCCTGAGGCATGGAGGGACTGAGAAGTTTATCACATGACACATCAGCACCTGGCATTTACTTGGCACTGGGTGGTGGCCATCCCTAGCCTGGCAATAATGAGGTGGATACCAAGGGTGAGTGTTCCTGAACCTGGGACTGTAAGTGTTCTTCTAATTGTATCATTCTTCATGTCTCTGGAGGCCAGATGAGGACCCGGGGCTGTGGTTACGAGAGAGCCCCACAGACATACTCGAGTTCTAGGGCTCAGGTCAGCACAAAAAGTGTCCAAAGTGTGAAGCATGAGAAGACACAGAACTCCAGCGTTGGTAGATATCAGAGGTAAGTTACAGAGGGGTATGAGAGGTCAGGGGACATGGACAGAAGCCCATGGACACGGTAACATGGGAAGACAGTGGACATCAGAGGTCACTGGACTTGTAGACAAGACCCATCAGAGGACAGGGTGACATCAGAGGTCAGTGAACATAGGGACCTCAGTGTTCAGAGGACATGTGCGTTTGTAGCCCTGCTCCAAACCCTTCCCTCAAGGTGCCAAGATTGGGCCCTGTCCTGAGTCACCTCAGTCCATACTCTGCCCCTAAAAATCCTGTTCTTGGAGGTTCCACCTCTCAGAGGACATTAGAAGTCCCCACCTCAGGGTTCACTCATGGTTCTTGGATTTCTGTTCCCCTGGGCTGACCCAGGAATGCTTTGCAGATGGGATCAATTGCATACAGTGAGACATTGTGTAGTCAGAGAGAGAGAGAGAGAGAGAGAGACAGAAAGAGAGAGAGAGAGTGAGAGAGAGAGAGAGTGAGAGGGAGAGGGGGGACAGGCAGGCAGGCAGTTAGGCAGAAAGACAGACAGACAGACAGACAGACAGACACACAGACAGACAGACAGACAGACAGAGTGTGGTTTATGTTTGTTCTTGGATCCCTCAGCTGTGAGTAGTCTTCTCCATCCCATCCATGGAACCCCTTGTGAGAAGAGGCAGCAATGCAGGCAAGAGCCTGAGGGGATGGAGGACACCAGGAGAAAAAGACCCTCCAAATCAAGTGAGCAGAGTTTATATGAACTCACACAGATGAAACAGGAGACACAGGTGTAATCCACTATCCTTTGTGTCACCATCTCCCACAAATTGACACAGAGACTCATAATTAATCATGAAACCCGGGCCTTGGCTAAGCTTTTTCCCAACTAGCTCTTATACCTTAAATTAACCTGGAATTATTATTATATCACATGCCTCAGTTACCTCTCCTCTGAAATATATGTCTGACTTCCTCAGTGTCTTACTGGTTGGTGTCTCCTAAGCACCTGAGTTCCTTACTCTGCCCAGAATTCCTTTATTTTTGACTATTCAGATCTGTATTAAACCAATCACAGTGATACCTCTTCACACATTATAAACATGTATACATTCATATTTTTTATATATTTATATACACATACATATATATATATGTATGTATGTATGTATGTATGTATGTATGTATGCGTATGTGTATATAGAGAGAGTGAGAGTAAAGTTCCTTAGCATTAAACTCAAATTGTTAGGCTTGACAGCAAGTGCCTCTACACCTGAGCCATCTCACCCTCTCCCTTTATCTCTGTTTGCAATGACCTGTTCTGAGTATGTACTGAAGAATATCGATACATGATGTTTAGTATAAACTCAGGCAAGAATTTATTTGAGTGTGTTTGTTTTCCATATTAATTCACAGGTTGTTTTATTAGTGGCCAAAGCGAGCCTAGTCATGCTAATTCCTGAGTCCCTTTGGCCTGGACCTAACGCATGGTCTCGATAATTCCCCATACTCTATATATATACGTTCAGCCTGAAAGGTCAGTTCAATCTTACCTGAAATTCTTTTGTTTTTAGAGCTGAGCACTGAGTATGAGATCATTAGTCAGATATTCCTCCCAACAAAGTACTAATTCACCTTCTCTCAGGAGATGTTAAAGTCTTGTAATTCTTCGCCTTGGAGTAGGACTTTGTGATATTTCTCCAGTTCAGATTGAAGGGTCAACTGATGCTATGTAGCTTTGGTCTGTAATACTTTTGTAGAAAACCTTTTATTCTAATGAAACAGCTAGATATTTAAAGACAGACAATATTTAAGAGAAAAGCAGGCTTTATTTTGCCAAAAGATGTTCTAAAGAGTTCAAAGCATACTCCATAGGTGTGGAGTAAGATGATGAAAAGAAGGAAATCTCAGGTTTCTACAGGGACCCTGAAAGAAAAAGATGTTTTGCATTTTCAAAGAAGCACAGGCTGTTTTTTCCACACCATTAAGCTCTGTGCTTTTCTTATAGATGAACATTGAAGAGTTACAGATAAACAATACTTTCCACAGTGATGCAACAGGTATCTATTAAACAACCTTAAAATTGGGTAAAATCCCTTCCAAGTATTCTCCTTTCTTATACACGAATCATCTTTACCCACCTCATTTTGGAATCCAAACAAAATGAGCATGGTCTTTATTACAGGAGAAGGGTAATCAGTAAAGGTGAGAAATCTGAGGCTGCAAATTATAGCAAGAGGGAATATTGACGTACATCCCAACAGAAGCCACTGCCATTGCACTGCCACACTGTTTTATTGATGTGATCCTGCTAAGTTGTGTGGTCACCGGTGATGTCTGTTGTTGGTAAAGTACGTGCTGCTGCTGCTGCTGCTGCTGCTGCTGCTGCTGCTGCTGCTGGACTGAGTACTCAGTGGGGACGTCCACATGCTGCAAATAGCTTAGCTGGATCCTGGAGGGCAAGTGTGCAGTCCTAGGCCAGTCCTCTCTGTATGTGAATGAGCACAGGTTCTTGTCCCCTTGCAGCTGGTTGTGAAGCTTTGAAGAGGCATCTGCAGGCAGCAAAGTGTCACTCCTCTGTGGTACTTTAGCTCTCCGGAGAGGCCTGTACTTATAGTCTGGGTATTTCTCTCTGTGTAAGGTCTTCAGTCTCTGTGCTTCTTGGAAAAATGGCCTTTTTTCAGCTTCTGTAAGTGATTTCCACTGGTATCCCAGTTGCTTACTGATTTCTGCATTTTCCATGCTTGGATTCTCCAGGGCTAACTTATGCCTCTGAGTCCTAGACCATACCATAAATGCATTCATGGGACGCTTGATGTGGCCCTCCATCCCCCTCTAATTGACTGCCACCAGTCCCAAAGCACCTCTTTTCTCCAGAGGTGAAGACACCCTGTGGCTGTAAAGCTTGACTGTAACATTCAGGATTCTATATGCTGAACATGGTTGATGAATTATGTTGTAACCAAGATTAAGACAGAGAGGTTTGGAGTGTAGGAGGGCTGTAGGGATAGAGACAAACACACACCCACACCCACCCACCCAGCCACCCACATACACACACCAGAGAGAGAGAGAGAGAGCTAGGTACAGGGGAACAGAACAAAACTTGACATGTAAGAGCTAAAGCTTCTCCACAAAATGTGTTTGTTACAAAAATTTGTTACTTAAAGTTTGTAGCAAAATATTCATCTCTCCTCCTCCAGCACCTCCCTTAGCCCAGCCCCAAAGTAATAACCATGCCAGAACCATGTAGACCTATGCAATGTCAACCAAAACCACTCTAATTTAGTGACTGTTAGATGCGGTGTTTCTACACTTGTAAAAATGCATCACTACCTCTATCACTACACATTGAGGTACAACAATGTACCTGTAATGAAAGTGATTTTTATGATGGACTAATATGAGAAACTAAAAACCAAAACAAAAACAAACGAAACTAAAAACCAAAACCTAAAAAGGGGGGTAGGGTTGGCAGTGAAAGGAATAACCATGAAAGCTAACATTTGTATCCTACTCCTCTAAGGAAATGTAACACTGAAAACACAAATTAATAGTACAACTTGGTTCAATGCTCCAATACAAATATGTATGTTTTGCTAGAGGGAAAACCCAGTTGTACAGCACATACTGGGTTTTGAAGATAGGAAAAAACTAGGTTATGTTTTCTACAAGGTTGACCTTAGAACTTATAAGACCTAATGGTTTTTGCAGTAGGTACACAGGTAACAGTAGTTTCTTTAATCACTTCTTTTGTGTAAAGGTCTTCAGCCTTCTCTTGTTAAGGTTAGGTGGCAGAATGCCTTCTGACTCAACAATGTCTATCTTCAGAGTGCCATCACTGCCTGCTTAAAACAATTATAGCTGGACTTGTTAAATACTAATATTTTTTCAAATAAGGAGGACATAGACAAGGTCATTGGACCTTCACTTGAGTATCCAGTCGCCCCTCCAACTGGTTGTAGGTGCATAGGTCCTAACTATATGAGACCATGAGGTTTTATGGGTATATAGGTTAAACAGGAAAATGAGGAGGAAGTCCACCTACACAGCCTTGAAAACCATTATATAAAATGTATTGCCTAACATCTCTCCTTAGAAACTTTCCACATAACAAATGATGGCTTTATTTGCTACTTTTATGTCTCATGGTATATGAAGAAATGTAAACCAACATGAATACTGTAAAATTATATATATTAACATCAAGTATATCACACACACACACACACACACATACACATACACACACACACACACACACACACAGAGAGAGAGAGAGAGAGAGAGAGAGAGAGAGAGAGAGAGACTGAAATGCCCAAATATATTTTTGGGTGTCAACTCTCTGAATAACACCACTATATTTAAATATTGTCTGTCTTTAATTGTCTGTCTGTTTTATTAAAATAAAAGGTTTTCTACAAAAGTTACAGACCAATGCTACATTGTGAGGGTCTTGTTAAGCATCAGAAATGGAATAGATATAGCAACAAGCCATATAGGTAACTGATGTCCCAACACTTAAGAGTCATGTATACAGAGTGACTGAAATAATACAGAGGGGATTGAATTAGCCATCAACTAAATTGGCAGATTTTAATCTGAGGAACCACTTTTGGTTATTATAAATAAGCTTAAAATGAAACTGAACACCACATAGCAGCCACTACAATACCTTCCTCTGGAAACATCAAGGGATTATATATTCTTATTGTTGACACCAGGTTTCTGAAGTTTTATACCCACAACATTTCATCTGATTTCATCATCTTAACCCCCCCCCAAACGTACTCTTTATAATTTATGTTGCACTATGTGATCTTGCTCACAAACTTCTGAATGATTGAGCAAGCTTTCTACACCTCTAAAACATAGGTTGCAGGAAAATAACATTCACAGAGCATCAACTGTAGCATCCTTTACACTAAGTACAATGCATCATGGAGTATTATTTAGATAGTCATGGGGTTTATTGAGCACCTTGAAACAAATAAGTCCCCCATATGGTCTTAAAACCTTTGAGCTTTACTCGATTTTGAAAACTATCTAGTGTAAGCACTAAATTATAGGCACTGTTTTGTGTAAATTAATTATAAGATTGTTTTGTAGATTTCAATGATACAGTGACACTAACATACTTTTTTAAGGGTTGGGATTTTGTTTGTTTTTGTTTTGTATGACAGGTTTTCTCTGTCTTTCTGGCTGTCCTGGAATGTGCTGTGTAAACTGGGCTGGCCCTGAAGTCACAGAACCCACCAGTCTCTGCCTCCTGAGTGCTGGCATTAAAGGCGTGCACCACAACTACCCAGTGACTGGGTTTTATGCCTGTGTTACAGCACTGTTTTAATGCCAATCACACAATTAGGGTTCCATCAGCTTTTTAACAACAGCTTTCTAACTCAACTGAGTGCAAATATATCTATCCATCCCAATGAATACTAAGTATCTTTCTCTGGAAGATACTTAGTCTGCATGCATACTCCATCATCACTTTTGTTACTTAACCTTTCTGTGAAATTTATGCAAAGTGTTAGTTAGCTAACAACTGTCCACATTCCAGAACCAGGAGGTTCCTACCCTCATCCTCACCCTGCCTAATGTCTCAGCAACAATGCCCTCCTATCACCAGGGCCAAGGTGACACATTTCCTCTGTCCCCACCTTACCCAGGTTTTCCATATGTAAATGCACCATATCCCTACCTCTCCTTAAATCTGACATCTGATCCTGCCAATGTGTCCATCCTCACTCAGAGGTACCCACTTTTCAAATTGGTGAAGTCTGTTCGGTGGTATCATTTCTGTGACATTCCTAGACCCTCATCACCTAGATACTCTGTGGCTACAAAACTTTTACACAAAGACATGTAGATACAGGACAGTGATCTCATGATTACTTTGACTATCCAGACTTCCTTTTCCTCACATAGAGAACTGCTTACAAATTATGTTCCTCCCCCTCCTTTGTGGACCCCCATGCAAGGGAAGCTTTGTAGTTCCTTGTGGCTTCAATCTCAAGCAGTGCTCTCCCTAGAATTTCCGCCTTCTTCTCCAGAAGGTGTACCACTCTGCCCACTATTCAGTAACTAAGCGCTGGAATTGGTAGCTGAATTCTTCAACATTTTGAGAGCTGCTTCTCTTTTTTTCTGCTGCTGTCCCCACCACAATTCCCTGATATTTTCTGTTCTGAACATCTTCATGGCCATAGCAAAAAGTCAAAACCTGTGCATGGACTACAGTACCATTATCTGGAAGGAACTTCCAGATAATAGAGCAAAAGTGGCCTACGGAACAGATCATACAAAAACAATCAGATATGCTCATTAACAATTCATAATATGCAGAGAACTGGACCAAGTTGCATGGGATTTCAGTAAAACAACACAGGATAAATCTATGGTGTAAATACCAACTATCCTAGTTCTGGTTGTGTATTTCCAGAAACAGTATATTAAAACCCCTAAATTGTGTCAGTGAGCATCTTTTTCCTTTTGAATAAATATGTGCCCACTAAATCAGGCAGAAAGTAAAATTGAGTTAGGATTAGCTAATTATCTTTAAAGGAGCCTTTTCTTATCTCTGAAATAAACACTTGTTGCTCCCTGGACTCTCCCTACTGATCTGGGAACTCTGAGACCCTTTGTTCCCTGATATTTGCATTTCAAAGGGAAGATGCCCCCTCAACACACACACACACACACACACACACAAACATACACACAGAGAGAGAGAGAGAGAGAGAGACATAGAGAGAGAGAGAAAAAAAAAGAGAAAGAGAGAGAGAGAGAGACAGAGAGACAGAGATAGGCCCATTAGGGAGAAACCTCCCAGGGTAGTGCTCTCCTTATTAGCTGGCTTGGCAAACCTGGCTTTCAGACATCAGCACCTACTTGTTAGAAAGATAAGGAAAACTCCATTCAATAAAGTCTGTTTTCTAACCCACTGAACCAGACCCCCATATTCTGATTCTGTCAACCTTAGTCAAACATCTTCAGAGGTAGTTCAAATGCCATGTTAGTAAAGAATTCCCTAAATATTCGTAATGGTAAACACTGACATCAAAGTACTGTGAGGTTGGGAAAGAAAATCCTGGGAGATTATTATGTGGAAAGAGAAAGATGTACTCTGTTGAAGTGGTAGTCCATAAGCATGAAAATTGGAACAGAGAGGATTTGGGGGAAGTGAACCAAGTTTAAGAAAGGGGCATTTCCATGAGGAAGGTCTACATGTAACTTCCGCCCAACCGAGTAAAGGATGTGGGAGGCCGTGACTGCCAGGTTCCACTGTTAGCCAGGACACATTCATGCAAACACAACTCTGCTTTCCTGTGCACAGATTTGGTAGGAAGAAACCTGTTGAGAGGCAGCCAGGAAAGCTGCAACACTTGGGTGGCTCCTGAGACCCTGAGAATAGGACTTTCTCCATCTGCTCAGGGGGTTGCTGTGATCATTCAGGAGAGGGAGGATGCAAAACCCAGTCACCATGTAATGATCGACACATCTCTCCTAAGATCCCAATAAAGAGCATAAATAACCTTTCACTACAGGAGGGTTGTCATTGGGACAGAAACACAAGCCATAGGTTCGAGGTTGTCCCTGTCCACTGTGTCCTGGACCCTCACATAGTCCACAGGGGAAGCCCTAAAGACCAGCTCCACATGTTCCCTCATAGTCTGGGCAGGATGAGCTTACACTCGCCTGCCACAGAGGGAAGGATACATGGGAAGTCAGGGATCCCCAGCCTGTGCATGGCTAGGGATGGAGACTTGGGAGGTACCCAAATGCTGACACTGAAGCTGCTGCTGTCTGGGAGAGACAAAGTAGAAAACTCTTCCCATTGCATGGGAATGAAGGGCTGCCTGCCTGGCTGGCATCCCACACACCAAAGCTCTCAGTGGAAACCTAATGCCATGATGCAACAGAGTTAGTATTGCTATGCTCCCCAGACAAGGAGGCAAGTTGAAGTGGCACCTGGAGAAGATACTTTCCTGCACCTGTTGGAAGTACAGAATGTGGTGGAGGTTGAGACAGATTGCTTATGCCCTGGGGCTGGAAGGAGACAGTCTTACAACATGTAGATCTGTTAGGATGAGACACTGCATGGGGACCATGGCAGGTTCCATGATGGGTGAGGGTGACTGAGTCAGGGGACAAAAGTGCCAGGCACACAGAGATTAAGTGAGAAGTGAAGTTTTATTAGAAACTGGAGGGAGGGGGAAGGAGAGAGAAAAGAGGTAAAGAGATACAGAGATAGAGAGAGGACAGAAGGTAAGAAGGAGATAGGAAACGCCCTGTCTGCCCCAGGGGAACAGTGAGAAGAGAGAGCAGGAAGAGAGCTGGAAAAGCAGAAAGAGAAGAGAGCAGAGGGACAGGAGCTAGAAAGAGAGCTTAAGTGGGCAGAGGTCTTTCTTTTAAAGGGATTGCCCCACCTGTGTGCAGACTGGTACTCATGGAACCCTGGGCTGACCAGAGGACTGCCTGAGTGCATTGTGCCAGGTGACAGGAGCAGGGAGCATAATGCACTAATCCTTTACTTATTTAAACAGTGAGGAGTTGTGCATGGCAGTCAGGGGATAAGGACTTTGCGTTATCATGAGGCATTCCTGCTGACCTGGGTCCGGGGCCCTGACCATCCCTGGGGGACCCGAGAAAGCTAAGTGCTGCCAAGTCCTGTGGTTGCTGGTTGTTTAATCGCAGTCCAGGGTGTCTGGAACTCTCTGGTTCCATTTCCACCTGGAAAGATATTGGAAGAACAGAGGACAAGGTTAAGATGAGGAATAAAACAAAACAAAACAAAAAACATTTCTTAGGTCCTGGTGCTTAAGAGAAGGAGGGAGGGGCTCATGAGGGATCCCAAAGGCAGGCCTCTGGGAAGCTTCAGGTCCTCCTGTGTTCTCTAGTACTTCACACAGTCCTCTCTGTCTTCCTGGATAGGAAGGAGCCACTCCTTCCTACAGGGTATCTGACCCCGAGTGAAAGATGTCAAGATGGGGTTTGCCACTGTCAATACCCTTGAAATCTGACAATGGCATTGTGGGATGCCATAGCCTGACCCGTCTTCTCACCTCAATGGCTGAGGATCTCCTAGTACAAAAGAGTCCAGCCACTCTGGATCCTGCTGAGCTTCATCTTTTGAACACCATCTTAGTAGACAACCCCCACATCTCTTTTCTTTCCCGCCCTCCATGTTACCCTGCCACACCCCTTGCCAAGGCCAGTATGCTCATCCATTCCTGCCTGGAGTCACTTGAAACCTTTACCTACTGAAATCCACTACTTGCTGTTTCCTCTGTCTCTGCAAGGCTTGTAGCTGGAAGTTCATCTCTCAACAGTGCTGGCTCCTGGCATGCAGGCTATGAGTCTGAGTCTGCCCTCACCAGTTTGAACAATCTGGCACTCTACCACCAGACTCTACTTCTTAGAAGTCAGAGCTTAGAGTGCTCACTGAAGCCTTCTCTTTAGCATGAGATAAAACTCTCAATATACACATAGATTGAAAGAAAGCTTTATACTGGAGAGGCCAGGGGTCTACCTACCTATGATCTTTCTATAATCTCTGTTTTATCCATCCATGGATCTTTTTTCTACCTTCCTATCTCTGATCTCACTCTCCGCTGTCTCTCTTTCCTTGAATCTGTCTGCCTGTCTGTCTGTCTGTCTACTCTGAAACGAGGGCTCACTGTGTAGCCCAGGCTAGTCTCATATTTACAGCAATCTTCCTGTTTCATCTTCCTGAGTTTGTTTCACCAGCCCCAATGCTTATGGGGGTGGCCATGTGAGGAACTTTCCTCCCTGAGTAGCCATAGGAGCGGAGGCTTGAGACGAAGGGGGGTAGGACAGAACTTTATCCCTTGGCACCAATGGCCTGTGGCACAGGAATAACCCATCCTGGCTGTGCTCCTGGGACAGTATGTCTGTCAGTAGTGTAAGGGAAGGTTCAGTGTGGGACAAGATTTCTGGATGAACTGAAGCATCCCGTCAATGGAGTAGACAGCTGTACTTAGACACAGCATGGCAGTCGTCCATGTTCTCGGATCAGAACATCCACAGTTTTAAAAGATGACCTCAACAAGTGTGGGCTGTATCTGCCCCAGCTGTTTCCAGGGAATCTACATCCTGATGCAGCCTCACAGAGAACCTGGGCTTCGACTGACACAGACTCCCCTCCAGTGTCCTACATCTCAGCTACCTTGGGTCCACTCACAGCAATGCTCCAATATTAACTGGAAGCAGCTAGAGGAAACAGCAGCCACTTATCCAGCGCGCAGGACTCACTCATAAACTGAAAAGAAGCTCTAACCAGCTCAAGCATGGCAAACATGGGTCTGGTAGATTTCACCCATCTTCCCCACTCCCTCTGCCTTGCTGAAAACCTTAGCTTGCATTCCTAGAGTTAGCAACCAAGGTCTATGAAATAAGAAAAACAGACTTCAAAGCCCATGTAGGAAAAAGAAAACTTTCAAGCTCCTCTCAGCTCCCAAAAGCAGCCAGACAGACAAGGCTAAACAAAGGACTGGTATGTGACAGGAAGACTAAGACCAGCTAACACACCCCAGCTGTGTCAACATTTCTCTGTCCTAAACAAGAAGAGATAGCTACATCACCTCACACTTGTAAAAATCCCTGGACCAGGAGGTAATTCACAAATTTGTATGCTGACAATATCCTGCTCAATTGTATTCTGCTCAAACATACACTTAGGGTTTTATCCTAGTAACCACAGAAGCTTTGTAATCTTGAGACTTCCAGTGTTGTGG